TTTCAATTTGAATTTTTATTATAAGTCCGGAGCAAAGTTTTTTAATTTTTTTTAAATAAAAAATAAATGTCACGGATTTGTTCCATGACACATTGTTTTTAAATTCAACGGTTTAAAAATTGGTTTTACAGTTTTAGTAAATAATTTCTTTTTAAAAAATTAAAAGAGACTTGTAACGGGTTAGGTCCGTGACAAAAAATTCAATTTTTTAAAAATATAAAATACTTGTCACGGATTCTGTCCGTGATAAAATGAAAATTTCAAAGTTTTTTTCCCGCCTAGCGGATTTCTGAAAAAACAAAAAAACACTTTGTCACGGTTAATTCCGTGACAAAAAATTCAATTTTTTTTAAAATATAAAATATTTGTCACGGATTATGCCCGTGACAAAATGAAAAAAATGAACCGGCACAATCTTCCGGTGATCACTTTGTCACGGAAGATGACTGTGACTAATCCGTGAGAAATCTTGTCACGGATACGGATCCATGACAAAAACTTTGTCACGTCCATTTTGTCACGGATGCAATGTAGGCCATGACAAAATCCGTGACAAAAATGTTTTGTCACGAATTTTTTGAATTACGTGTCGTGACAAAATCTGTGACAACCTCTTAGATTTTTTGTAGTGATCTTGCACTCTGTAAACTAATCGTAGGTTAAATGAAGGGCATTACAATAACTCTAAACAAATCATTTAATATGGTAACAGGTGGAGGCTACCACTTTTCAAAAAAATAGGTAATAATAAAATTCAAATCATATAAATTGATTTTATTTTAAAATTGAGTTAAATTTTTAAAATATAATCCAATTGCTTGTATAATTTTTTTAAAAAGTATAATGTGTATATATGATACACATGAACTAGTATCTACAGCTCAATAGTGCTCTTCTTGTCCGGCCAGGCCGGACAGGACCTCCGTCCGACCACCTCATTTTGAGGTGGTTCCCGGTGGTATTTTTGGCTGGAATTTTTTATGTATGTTGCTCATCAAATGTAGTTCATTCATACCAAATTTCAGGAAAAAAATCAATCGGAAAGGTCGTCAAATGATTTTTGTATGAAAACTGGTTCGGAATATACATATAAAAATCATTTGACGGCCTTCCCAAAATGAGGTGGCCGGACATGAACATTATATTCATGTATATATATATATATATATATATATATATATATATACACACATATATATATATATACACACACGAACAGAACTCGTATCTTCAATAAGAACTTTTTTTTTAAATGCATCACAAAATATTTAAAGCTTTTCAACGCACAAGAACTACTACCCAATGCATAACCCTGTAGTTACGTGTCGGGGTCGGCCCTGGGTGAAGGGATGAAGTGCATACGAATGAAATCACATGCGAATAGGTGAACGCGATTGACGGTCAAAGATAAACCTGAATAAACGATATATAGATATGTCATATATTGTACGATAGTATATGTTTATTGGCTTTAGATGGGAGAATGACTTGGTGAACCGTAAAAAATACACTCTCAATTGTTTTTATGTACTCCCTCCGTCCCGGTCATTTCTTCCAATTTTGACCGGTATCGCAAATTTAGGTAGTGGGAATAAAGTGAAAATGTATGGTTGTAGTTGTGTAAGAAAAAGGTGAATGATTGTGAACCACATATTTTTCCAAAAGTGGAAGTTGGAAGAATTAATTGCGACGGCCCAAAAAGGAAAATTGGAAAAAATGACTGGGACGGAGTATTATTATATAGATATCATTATCTATAAAGATATAGATTGTCTCTTTCAATGGACTATCAAAATACTAAGACTAACCCATTGTTAGAAAAAATAACATGATTAAACTTACGATAAAAAAAATAGGGAAAACCCATTGTTCAAAAAATTAAACATGTTTAAACCAAGGGCATAGTTAGGGGGTTAACCTAGGCCTCGCCTCACCTCATATTTTAAAAATGACTATATTTTTAGTGTATTAACTTCGTGTAAAAAGTTTTCCAAAATTATTCTTTGTATCAGTCAAGTTCGGCTAGTGCCCGGCTTCAGCCATGGTTTAAGCAATCCATTAAATTAAAGAAACATGTTTATGACCATAGTTGCAGCCTACTGCCAGCCTTGCAGATGTGTCATGCACGTGTGCGCCAATTAACGCGGCTAAAATTTCTAGTAAAACTAATTAGCAAAGCATGCATTGAGATGCACACAAAAAACGTGGTAAAATAAACGTGTGAATTGTGAGATGCAAACAATTAGGCCACAATATACGCCATACACATATTATTATTAATTAATTCTAGAACAATAAAGAAAGAAAATAGCACATAAAGCACAATTAAAATGCATGTATGTGAGAAATTCTCTCTATTTGTTTCTCCTCTCTAGGCCTACATTTGCTCGGACTGCTCAATTCATCTAAGCAGCGGCTAAGACCGAAAGAAAGACAGAACTAAGATTTCATTAAGGATGGGATTATTTATGAAATTCAATTTCGCATTCAAGTCATCTCCGATCAATGTCCGTTTCTGAAGTCATAAACAACGTTGTTTGAATTGCTTCCTCGGATCCAGCAATGTTGTGGTGTTGGTAATATTTCTATTAGCATTTCCATTGTGCATGTTTTTATGATATTTATGAAAATGCAAGAGTTTGGTAGCTTAATTAATGTCATGGTATTTCTTTTGATCTTGTTTCTGATCAAGGAAAAGAAAACTGGGATGATGCATTTATTATATATTTCAATCAAGAAATCATAGAAGACACTACACAAATAATGTTGCAAAGAGTTGAGAACGAATCAAATCAAACTTGATAACCAGGTATGTATATATGGAGATGTTAATTCTAGATCCTTTCGAATGTAAGCCATAGAAGTGTCTGAGGAATTAATTAGTAGTTATTCATTTGTTGATTTCTTAATTCATTTCTTTATTCTTCATAAAAGATCAAATGTGCAAAAATTTGAAAACATAAATCTTTTAAATGGATCTTTTGAATTGACATATGTGTGTGCAGGGGGGAGCCAGGGGTCAGATGACCTCACTGAAAGTTTGAGAGTATAGAGCTCTGAAATACTATGGCCCCCGTAACTCATTACGAGTAAAAAGTTATAGCTTCTGAAAAATCATTATCTAAACGTAAAATCAGCAAAATTTGATGCATACTATAGATGATTTTCCCAAATTTCAAAAATAGGATATATATAATTCATTCAATACTTATGTGACACGACTTAGAAACAGAACAAAGATAAATTATCTTATTGTTACGACTGCCTATTTATGACCCCCTGAGCCGTTTTTTGGCTCCGCCACTGTGTGTGTTTGTTGTGTGAACATTTTGATATTTGATATACTTTGATCGAGTCTCATATATGAAATCCTTAAATTGAATTTAAAAATTACATGAGCATCGTTCTTATTCATCCACCTAAGGAGATGTACCATAGCTTCTTAATATAAGAGGTAGAGGTCGAAGGACCCGCATAAGATAAATTGTGACTCTGTAGAGCTAGGGTCTTGCTTTAGCACACATTTTAACATACCAAAGTCTATAAGTTGAAAAAAAACCATGAATTTCTTGTTACTTTTTTAAATCAATTTTAGAGTATCTCAACCAATGTATGTTTCATGTAACACAGAAATCTTGATCAAGTAAATTAAACACATAATTTTATTTTGAGAACTGCTCGATGTACACCTTTTTATACACTTTTTGTGCACTTGTTTATATAAATAGACAATTTCTATCTTTAATAGATGAACAATTTGTATACACATGCAAAAAAATTGTACAAAAAATATTGTACAACTGGAATTTTCCGTTTATTTTTAGTCAATTTAATCAAGATATGGATTCAACGTGACAAATAGGAGTGCATTGGATTCCACTCTGATTTCGGGCAGGTTAGCTATGGATTAAGATTACACTAGTTTCGCACTTTCGCTTTCGCCTATTTCTCAATAAAAGAATGACAATTTCAGTCATACTTCTTCTTTAGAACTGATTTGTAATATTTTGTTCTGAAATATTCAGTCTTATACTTCCATGCTACTTCAAAGCTTTGATGGAGGATATAAATTTCCTACGCGTACCTCTAAAATTATGAAACCTAACACACCCTACACACTCATGACAAACCCCAATCTAGAGCTCATATCCAAAACTTTTGTCGACAAATAAGCTAGATCTGCTTGTATATATCCTGACTACATGAGTTTACTTCAAATAGTAATGGGAAAATCGCACATTTGACCCCCAATTATCCACCATATTGAAATCTCAACCCGTGTTTCAGGTTATCTAAATTTCACCCCCGAGTTGTCCGAATAATTATAAATGTCACCCCTGCCGTTATAAATTTCACCCCCGAGTTGTCCGAATAATTATAAATTTCACCTTCGAGTTGTCCGAATAATTATAACAGCAGAGGTGACATTTATAATTATTCGGACAACTCGGGGGTGAAATTTAGAAAACCTGAAACACGGGTTTGGGATTTCAATATGGTGGATAATTGAGGGGTCAAATGTGCGATTTTCCCAATAGTAATTGATTTTTAACCATGATTCTTTATTTCCTGAGACCAGAAAACAAAATGCGTATCCCCCGTTGGGAACTTGGGATGGGCATGCACTGATGCACTTCCATGCAAGGTTAACTACTACAGATTGATGATACATACTGAAAGCAAGGTAGAACACGAAAGCAGGCGAGAATAAATTGTACAAGGAAATGCAACTAAGTTGGAGGTCTACGACCTTAGTAGGTAGCTACAACCACGTGAATTAGTACAGATGGTTATTTTCTAGTCTGTGAACATGTTGTCGTGTTATTCATAGTCAGAACTTTGGTTCAACCAATACATGACTGCATGCTGCTAGATCTCCTCCCTCATCTACGCAATCTCAATCAATGCTAACCATCGTCATGTACACATAATACATATGCCACCTCACCGAGCGACGGAGCACGGCAGCAGGGGTCAGCTATTTGAATCATTGGTTATGCTTTTATTGTTAGGATCGGACGAAGAAGAAGGCTGTTGGCTCACAAACTGTCCCCGGATACGCGGCCTCTGTTCTGCCAATCTCTTCCTGCTTTGGTACCGAACCTGAAAAGCAACAAAGATCATATAAAACTGATACAGAGTGATGTGTTGTTAATTATGCCCCTTAAAAAGATGCTGCAAAGCTGGGTGATGTATGGTGGTAACCTTTAGGATTTGTTTGGATGTATAATTCTCTTTTTACCCTTTTTCTTTCTTTTTCTTTGGGGAGGGGGGGGGGCTTCAAAGCTTAGTTAAATTTAATATATGCATGCATGACACACATTAACATATCATTTTTTAAATTTTATAAAATCTCAAATACACAAACGTGTAGCCTTCGCCGCCACAACCTTCTATCCAAAACAGACCCTTAAAATAACTACCTTTTTGTCAAAGTTCCTCTCTTTTCGTTTTTGCCTGAACTTGTACAAGGCAGCTTCCCTTTGCGTTTGTCGGCTTTGGTCCATCACTCCACTCCTGCTCCCGCTACCACTCCCATTCCCACCACCGCCACCACCAGCTGTGCATTTTGCATCCATCTCATCATCTTCAGCATCCATGTTGTTAGTTTCATCACCAACTACACCTGTGTTGCTCTCGTTCTGCCCATTGCTTCCATTGTTACTCCCCGATGCACTCGTGTAGTTTTCTTCATCCCCTAACATGCGGTTTGGAACATCCACGCCATTTTCTCTAATGGGCAAAGAGTCATTCTGTTGCTGACTGTGCACATGGTGATGATGATGATGGTAATGGTGGTGGTGGTGCTGAACTTGAACCTGTTGCTGTTGCATCAACACCCTTGACTGTACCAATGCTGCCTGTGCTACTGAATCTTTTCCTGCAAGAGGGGAGAAGACCAAGGATGATGCACATTTATAACTACAGATTTAAGTGATTTTACTGAATCTGCTGAATTACCTGAGTAATTTTTAAAAACACAAATGTTTAAATTAATTACAGAAATAGAAAATTACATAAATATGACTAGAGGCCCATCAATGAAAAATAGGACTATATAAGTTCCAATTTTAACACAATACAAGAACACTTCTATTTGCGCACGTGACCTGTGAATTATTCCAATATGATGATACTTTTTTAGAAACAATATCCAAAAGTAAAGGTAGAATATTAATTAAAGCACAAATAGAAGCTCTAACACTACTTTTTTTTAATTCTCAGTGTTTGTAAAGTCAGTTGAAAAGCCAAAAATGAAGCTTACCAAAAGGGGTATTTGATGGCTTGGCTAAACTTTTACTGGTTGATGAGCCCATATCATTGTTGTTGTTACTACCACCACTAGAACGCTGATTAGGCATGCTGTTTGAGTTATGCATTGATCCTGCTTTTGCTGCTTCCGAGCTATTATTATTATTACTATTATTATTATATTTATTATTATTATTATCATCATCATCATTAACAGGAGAGCAGCTTCCGACATTTCCAATGGTTGCCTGAGGGTTAGCAGATGTTGAAGTAGTAGTACCACCACCATACCTGAGCATGGAAATGAAGAGAATGCAATATGATTCGTGATGTGATATTCCTCCAAATGCTTAACAACTAAAATAGTAGAAAAAATGTTTTGGTTTTATAGACTATTGTTGCACTTCAAAATTTCATGCCTTGAGAATGCAGATTGGTCTGAATGCCTCAGCACGTTGCGTTCTTGCAGTGTGACTCCAGCATCTACAACTTCTCTGTGTTGCTTCAAACTAAGTTCAAGTGAAGGCATATCCTTTGTCTTGCCTGTTTCCTTGGATGGACCGGTAGGAACATCAATGTCAGCATTATCCTTTCCCTGTAACTCAGCTGTGTTAAGCTCCTCTAGCTTTCCAATCAATAACTTATTCACCTCTTTTGACCCATTCTCTGCATTAGGCTGTAAATCTGGGGTCCTTGCTACTCCTATCTGCAGATCCTTTCCCATTGACGCAGTTCCTGTTTCATTCCAAATCATACACTTACTCATTCAGATCAGGGGAAAGCAGAGAATGTAAAAGTACAACAATTTAGGACACTGGAAATCTCTTTCCTAAATTAATTTTACATGGACAAATTATAGCGTTGAGCGAGGAAGACCAATTGTACCATGTCCATCTTTCTCATCTCGGTGCTCTCTGGCAGAAATTCTAGGATCCCAGTTTGAAATGTTTGCTTCTGGCCTTGAATGAATAGCCTGAGCACAAGTGCTGTCAGGGGCTTCAGCTAATTCATCCCATTGCAACATGGCCTGAGGGTTTTCCCCTTCAACGGCCTGATTCGACCACGAACCCTGTGACAAATAAGGGTAGTGAATCTAGTGACAATATTATAGAAAGAATACTAAGCACTCAACAAATTGTTCCCAAGAGTTCAAAAATTGACAGTAAAATAGGGGATTCCATCCACAAGTCCACAACTAGTCAGTCATCTAAAGCATGCGACCTTATTCTTCAGGAGAGTGTTGGAACAGAAATACTCTAATAGACAGTTGATAGTGGAATATACTTGGGCATTAAGCCAAAATAAAATGAAAAAAATCTTTTTGAACATTCCAAGTCAAAGATCATTCATGTCACATACTTTATTTTTCTTGCTTAATAATCATTTTTTAAAAAGAAACTACCAAAGAGCTGATTTTAAGAGCCTCATAATCTTTACACCAAATATCAATAACTGATAAATGGTTATATTTAGTTAAAGGCTCACCCTTTTGCAGGCACATATATGACATTATTTTGAGTATTTCATAAAATGTTCAAATACATTTTCTGCATAGTATCTGCAGATGTGAAGAAGACCATTATAAGCAATAATCATCAGAAGTACCTGTGTTCCACTTCCATTATCGCTTCCATTTTCATCATTGCCATCACTACTATCGTCTGAACCTCCAATGCTTTTAGACTTCGTGGACTTCTGGATACGTATACCACTTTCACTGCCACTCCCACCTGACTGAGAAAAAGGGTGATAAAATGATGAATAAACATAGTGTTAAAACGTGAATAGAGTGAATAAAAAAGAAATAGGTAAAACGTGACTTACACTGTGGCATTTCCTCCAAACATGTTGCCAGAGATTTTTAAGCTCATTCTTTCTAATAGGCTTCACTAAAAAGTCCACTGCACCCTTTGACAAACACTTAAACACTACTCCCATAGAATCGTTTGATGACATCACTGCACACAAATCACAGTGGTCATTAAGTCTAACAGCTAAAAAGAATTGAAATATTAGCAATGTTGTCCGTATAAAAAACAATTAATTATAAGGGGAAAAACTCACTGATCACGGGGACACTCTTGTGAGTTTTGTGGTTCACAATCTTTGACAACAGGTCAATGCCTGACAGATATGGCATAGCTACTTCTGTTAGAACAAGATCTATGTGGTTGGTTAGATCACCTAAAACATTCCATGCATCCACTCCATTTGCAACAGCTGTAACTGCAGTAATCCAAAGCAGAATATTTTTTTAGAATGAAGAAAACAGATGTTTGAATGCTTTAACAGAAATTGGCACAGCATAAAGAAAAAGAGAAATATCTAATAAACAATCGTGATTCACATTGAATAAGAACAATATGATGAATAACAAAGTCGGACATCCTGAATTTCAAATTAAAAGTGGCCAGTGAGTAGGAAGGGTTGCAAAACTACACAAACCGGTATAAAACTTCTGTGTTAATAGTCAATTTCATACGAAGAATGTCCAAAAAGATTAAATATGAGTAGCAGGAGCTTAATTTTTGGTAAAAAAAGGCAGTCCGGTGCACGAAGGCATGCCCCACGAGGTGAGGGTCCAGGGAAGGGTCCCACAATAAGGGTGTATACCCTTCAAATTTAATTTTTTCTGTGAAATCAATTTTATTTCTGAGATTCTACTTCCATAAAACAAAAGATGGTCAATTTCCTACTTCAAAGAGAACTTCAAAGATTAAGAAATAAGATAAGTAGGGATGAAAGTTCAAAATGGATGCATTTCAAATCAGACCTTACCTTAGGTTCTTGTATTAATATATAAGTACATCCACTTGAGTAGAATATTGCTAGACTGAAGTGTTCAGGGGTGATGTGTATAATTGCATACTTCATAGTTCATAGACATATGACTATTACTCTGACAATTGAATCCTGAGGATGGATATCTATATTTTCTTTTAATATTAATACATTTTCTTACAGATGCATGTCTATGTCTTGAAATTAATAGATGCTCCCAATGCATTCATTGGTAATGAGGGATATTCAAGAGACATGATACGGACCTGAGCTTATGGTGAGGGAATTAATAGAAATAATACTGACTATTTTAATAAGTTGTAATAAGGAAGCGGGCTGGGCCAAATAATTAGTTAGATTGAGGAGAAGCCTCTTTAGAAAGAATAAATAGTAGGATTAGAAAAGGGAGAGGTAGAATGGGATTTGGGAAGACTTGGGATCTAGGAGAGAAAGAGGCCCTCTCGAATTGGCCTCCGTTGTACTCCGCTTACTTTCTACAATATCAACGATATTTTGCTTCAAAATTTCTGCATACATATCAAGACATTAATGAGAAATGTAAATATGAGAAACGAGTGTGTTATGGGTAGACAAAAAACACCTCCATAGGCTTTGAGTGTTATCTACTATAGAACTCTGACCAACCCCACCCCACCCCCACCCCACCCCCACCCCCACCCCACCCCATGTGACGACCCTTGAAAACAAAACAAAAAATTCTAAGTGTGGACAAATATACATATAAGATGAGGATCCCTTGGTGAGATTTGACATTTAATATACACTTCAGTCGAGCCCTACAGGAACCCTCTCGACAGAGTGCTTGAACCTGGATGCTTGACAAAGTTAGTGCAGCTTCCAATATCTGAGTATTCGATCGACGTGGATAACTTAAGTCCATAATGTCCAGCATACTTGGTTGCAATGTCCAGCCTATGCGAGTTGGATTACTCTATAAAACCAATGTGCGCTATATGACAGGCCTGACCCAATGGGCTGCTGGTGGGGTTATACATTAACCCCTAACAAAAAGTAACATGGCTCAGAGGGAAAGACATTAAAAGTAGAAAAGATAAACAACAGTTCGATTAGCATCGGGCCATGCATAAAATGAACACGTTTTCATGGAAATTGTTTTTATTTTCAAGGAAAATGAGTTGTTCTATGTATAATAATTATAATATAATGTCTATCCCATAAAAATAAATAACACTGAAAGCAGAAAGGCATTTTGTCCAAAAGTTGAAACGAAAAGCAAAATGAGTTGGACACCAACTACGGAAAAAGCTTTTCAGGCAAATGTTTGAATGTGCCAAACAGAGGAAAATCCAGTTTCCTTGAAACAAATAGGGCCTAATTAGAAAAGAAAATACTGGAAACTTAATTAGCTGATATTTTATCTGCCAACCAACTATGGATGAAAAGGATAGGATAAATTGGAAAAAGTATGTATACCACACCATGCTATAATCATACTCATGAAAGTGAAAGGAATTGAGAAGGAAAGAACCAAACCTTCATAACTGCAGTTCCGAAGCAGTGCACTAACTACATGACGAGTACATTCATCATTTTCCACAAGCAAAACCTTGAGAGATCTAAGAGGCAGAAAACGCTCCCAACGAACTGCATGGGCCAGAGGATGTTGCTGATGTGTATGAGGAACAGCCTTCACTAAACCTCTGTGTGTGTCATTCCTATCATCAGCAACTTCATGGAACCTTGACTCGTGTTCCTCAGAGACCACATGTCTTCCTCCTCCACCTGTTACTCTGTGCTGCTCAGTTTGCTTGCCTTGGTTATTGTGTACTGTAGACCCTTTACCAGGAGGACCATCTCCTTCCACCCAAACTCCCGTCATCAATCAGATTCAAAAAGATGAGTGCTGAACAAGGATCCAGATTTGGTTGGCAAGAAAGCCTCAAGTTTGGAAAGAAAAAATATACATCAGATTCTTCTAATGTTTCTTTGTTATTATGTTACACTAACAGACATTAAACTTGCTTTTCTGTTTCTATGAATATGTTCATTAACTTTATCCACCCGTCCTTTATAAGAGTTCAAAATTTGGGAAGGCAAGCTGATCATACCGTTTCAAAAAAAACGACTGCCAGACTGTCTTTCTATTGAGCAGCTCCTCAACAAAACCTATAACAAAGAATGCCATAAAACTCTTCAATTTGTCACAACTTCACAGAGCCCAAGTTATAAGAAGAAATAAGCATAACAAAATGACATAGAACTGCCTTGCTTTGAGGCATCTTTGGTAAAACTAATGAAAAAACTATGTGAAGTACAAATATCAATGTTAGTAGTTACATTAGTTAAATACATATTTAAACTGGTTTGAAACCATTCACTCATAACGTGTTGGTTGTGACAGCCTTCGTTCTAGCTGGAGTATGTGGGATTAAGTTATACTTATATTGAACCCGTTATTCGTAGAAATCTACAGAGAAGCAGTCTAGAAAGAAATTATGATTATGAAGTCGTCCTGTGCTCCTAGGCAGGGGCAGGGGCAGATAGGACATGTTTTGGGGTTCAACAATTTTATTATAATACCACAAGTCAACTGTCCTACTGATTTGGAAACTATCTAAATTCGCATGGAATCTGACATAATTTTCACAACAGTACGCTAATTAAACAACATATTACCCATAGAATCACACACGAACAGCAACAACAACACCAACAACAACCTTAGAGGAATTAATTAACAGAGATGGACACAAACAAAAGAGTTAATTTTTATGAATTACATTAACATAGATGACAATAAAAATCGTTAAAAGATGGTCAGAAACACCAGAGTAACTTTAAAATCCTATACCAATTACCAAGCAACGTGAATAAAAAATTATAAGGTGTGATTCAGAAAATAACCAGATATTCGAAATAGAAATAAAATATCCATCCCGGATCAAAAAAGAGGATCCAGGAAAAGACCAAAACAGGGTGCAGCATACGTTGAACAAGGGTCTGGGTCGGGAAAAGGCGAAAAAGAGACTGGAATTTACCAATTGGTCGTAGTTTTTGCCTAGAAGAAGAAAACCATAGAAGGATCGAAGCGAAGAAGATATAATCCACGGATGAAGACGTATAATCCAAAACCTATAAATGCGATGGCCGAAGTTGGGGAGAGTGAAATGGATGCGTACCAGCTGAAGATATTATTTTACGGAGTATTCCAGATCTGGGACGGATGACGTGGACAATGTGTGAGCGGCTAGTTTCGCCATGTCAGCGGAAACTGGGGCCTACGTGAACGTATATGAATCTAAAGACGGGCTCGTAGCCCTCGGGCGGATCTTCTGAGATCCGATTGCGGACACGTGTCAGAAGAACCTCTCGACCTTACGCGAGTGTTTGAAGCGCGTGGAAGCTGAACCACTGCCAACTGCGAAGACAGGATTCGGCGATTAGCCCAGCGGATAAATTAGAAATTGTTGACCTATACGTTCAGATATTTTCGAAAAAGTAAAGAATTTTCTTGCTCCAAATTATGCCCCTAATCCTATTTTTTGATTTATCAGACTTATTAGCTCATTTTTTATCGAACGTGTATTTTTTATTTTCGCGCCAAACTGTGTAATACTACGTAATAAGAAAAAGTAACGTTGGAGTTACGTTTCTGGTTATATTGGCTGAATTTCCTACAAAGGGATCATTTTAATTATTTTTCATACTCGTATTATTTTTTCTTTATTTATTAATATAACAAAATTAAATATAATTTTTCATAAATCAATCAATTCAACTATTTCAACCAGAACTTCATAAATTTCAACCGAATCAGCTAATTCCAGTGTTACCAAATGAGGGTTTAATGCACCAAATTAAACCCCCTCGTGCGATATGAATTCGGCGCATTAGCCTCTGTGTTTTAAAAATGCATCAAGTCCCTTGTGTTATGATTATTCATGCACAAAACCAACAAAATTAATTACCAAAAAATGAAAAATAATTAGTTGGTTTGTATAATTTAGAAATTTTTACAAAGTTACTTGCATATTCAATCATATAATTAAGAAAAGTGATTTCAAAATTTTAAAGTTTGTTCTTGGAGGGGTTTTGAGCATGAATAATTATAACACATGAGGGTTTGACGCATTTTTTAAATCACAAGGGGCTAATACGCTGAATTTACATTTCACGAGGGGGTTTGGTTCATTAAACCCTACTAAACGGATTTGTAGTTTATAACTTTATTTATCGTTCTTTATCATTTTTTTGTCAAATATCTTCCACTTTATATACTAGTCAACTACGCGTGCCTTGCACGGATTACAGATGTACGCAACTTTTGATTTCGCATACTGAATGGATATAATATTCAAAATAAGTAAGGTTAAAGTTACTTTTCTGATTGAACTGACTTAATTTGCGAAAGATGACAGTTTTGTTGCTTTTCCATATAATTTATTCTTTAATTTTTTCATGAAATATATATATGTCGTAGAAATATATATATATATATATATATATTTGCCTTATAATTCCTAAATTATTCTCATCTAAAGGTACAAATATATTTACTTTATAATAGGGCGTGATTCAAATAAAAAAGGTATTTAACGTAAAAAGTGAGAAACTTTCACTTTAAGTTCGCTACAGTGCGCCTTTAGATTTAACTTCTGCACTTTTACGGTGACAAAAATGATCACTTATTTACGAAATTATCATCATGTTTTTAATTTAATCATGACCACTTAGAGCCATCAGATCTCAAATCAAATGCATAAAAAGCATTCTCATTTTACACATTTAGACTTCTTTTCATTTGATCCCAAATCTATGATTTCATTCATATCAACATATGCATTATAAGGACTATGACTCTAAAAATAAATATAAGTAGAAATTGAGTACCCATTGTCCCAATCTTAGTGGGATGGAGGTAGTAGTATTCATCATTTTGATCTCTCTTCCAAGCTTTCATCTTATAATATGTCGTAGATCTATCTGTGTAGACTTGTTAGCTAGGTTATATCTGGTGGGAATTACCTTCTTCAACCTGGAGCTTTTTATAGTCATAGTCTTCACTATTTAAATTTTAATGCAAGGATATGAATTTCTTGATCGTAAACTGCATAAGTTAATACTATGAAAAAAGATGACACCCACCTCTAAGGACACTCCAGCACCGGCCAAACAGTTAACTAGAGTAATGTAAATTAAATTTTATCAACAAGCTGGCAAATAGCGAGTGAGGTTGTGATGTGTTACTTGCAGAAGCTCTATGCATTTTAACATAGTAACTTCTCATCACATTTTTCGGGATTCAATTTCGAGACTTACCCTTGTGACACTCTCTATCTACCGGTTGAGCTACGCCCACCAGCATATAAGTTAATACTGTGAGAATTAGCTAAGAGTTGAGCAACGCCCACCAACAAATAAGTTAATACTATGAGAATCAGCCTTGTGTAGACCCTAGAGAGGCAACAAAACATAAGTAAATAAAAATGTAGCTGAGCAATTCTCTTTATAGTAATTATACTCTCAATCAACCATTTGAGCCAAAATATTAATACACTTTCTCTGCAGCCATTACCAAACACAACCCAGAACATAAAATTAGAGATTTAGAGTGAAATCATCAGAAGAGGTGGAAATGTGGAATGAAACTAACAAATTATACAAATTGTAAAGATGAACAACAAATCATGTAGGTGATGTAGGGATCTATAAGACTATAAGGTTTATTTATTTACCAAGGTTAGTTAATTTAATTGTTTACTATGAGGGTGCAATGGGCAGAATTTACTATGAGGGTGCAATGGCTGATTTACTCCAATTTTGCATCGTAGCCACAACCATTCATGAATGATGAATGACTGCTCTATTTAGAGAGAGGCTCAGTGAACATTCACTTTTACAAGATCAAGAATAATAATTGCAAAAATAAAGTGAGAGACAATAATAGGCATAGCTTCAACGGAGTAATATAACATCAAAACGAAATTGAATTTATTGTGTTTCTTTACATGCATCAGAGCATCTCCAATGCTTTTATGTGCATGGTGCACATGTGGCATAAGAGGTAGCCACATAAATATTAGCAAATAAAATATTTCTCTCCTTATTTGAATGATTTTGTACAATTTGGTAAATTTTTCTCTACAATGTCAACCACAATGTCAACATCTAGACGGTCTGCTTGACATTGTGGAGAAAACTTACCAAAATTGTAAAAAATCATTCAAATAAGGATAGAGATAATTTATTTGCTAATATATATGTTGCTATCTCTCATGTCACGTGTGCACCATGCACAATGTAGCATTGGAGATGCTCTCAGCCTAAACTCAAGAATGGACGAGATGACCAGTAAAGACAGCAACACTACACTCAAGCTGCAGCAGACTTCTGCTTGTTGTCTTCAAGAAGATCAGCAAGATTCAAAGCTTGTACCAGCTTTGGCCATGACTCGGGTATTCCTCCAGGAAGATCAAACTCCAACAATTTCCCACGACACCGATAGAACTCCTCAACTGGTTGGCTCTGCAGGACGACCCCCCCCCCCCCCCCAACAAAACAATTAAATGTGGAATGTGTTTGTTTATATATTTTATATGGCTAAATGGTCAAATAGGCCCTCGGACTAATTAAAAAGTGCAAATCACCCCTTATATAGGAGGCTCTGTCCGGCCGTCGCCATTTGGGGCGGTTCCTAGTGGACTGGTGGACTTTTCTGATGAAATTTTTTTTGAATCTTCTTCATTAAGTCTAGTTTACCCATACCAAATTTCAGATACAAATTCAACCGGGAAGACAGTCAAATGATTTTCTGAAATGTACTGCACTGTTTAACCGCACAGTTATCTTCAAAAATTCATTTGACTGTCTTCATGATTGGATTTTTAGCTGAAATTTGGTATGAGTGAACTGGACTTAATGAACAAGATGCTCAAAAAATTTCATATAAAAAGTTCACCAGGAACCGGCCCTAAATGGCAATGGCCGGACAGAGCCTCCTATATAAGGGGTGATTTGCACTTTTTAAGTTAGTTCGAGGGCCTATTTGACCCTTTAGCCATTTTATATCTAGCGATGGCCCCAGTCCGATTCAGTTCAGTACTTCAGTTCCCTTTCTGGAACGACCAACTCTGAGTCCAAAATCCATGTTGCCCATAACTGAAACCAACATGTCTGGTCCACAGTTCTCGACCGATTTTTAGTCTATATATATAAAACATATAACCATCGAGCCTGCACATATTTTGGACGAATCAGAACCAGTTTGCACCGGGTCTGGACCAGAACTGTAAAAACAGAAACTGGTCTGGTTCTTTACCTGTCTAGTCTTGCTCTGTTGAAGTGCTGGAACCGGGTCAATCCACATTTATATCTTTAGGGAACAATCCCTCTTTCCCATTTTCAGCTTTTAACATGTGTAATATGCTGGCATGGTGCTAGAAGAATATTGTGATTCTACTATTCTAGTTTTAGCATGAAGTTATAGTCATAGTGTTAATGAATTTCACAGTTAATTGATGCTATAAGTTTTATGCCACCAACACTAATAGTTGGGTTGAGGTGGTGTTGATAATGATGATGAATAAATAAAAAGAAAAGGACCTTGATAATGGGATTACAATGAAGGCAAGTGAAATACCAACTCATTGTAGATGCGAAGGCGCTCCTTCACAACATCTTCAGTGTCATCGGCTCGCATTATCAATTTGGATTCACAATGAGGAGGAGGAAGAAGAGGAGGCATATACATTCCAGGGCTTCCTTGTGTTCCCTTTATATCAATGCACGCGACATTGTAGTTTCCTCCACATTCGCTGCACATCCTTCTCCCTAGACATTTTGCGATTATTGCCTCCTCCCGAAGTTTCAGATTGATTACCAAGTCAATGTCTGTGACACCCTCTAAAATTTCCTGCTTTTTCAAATAAAAAAAAAGTATGAAATTCTTTCACAACAATGAAAACAGATGGCAAGTATCATTGAAGGGAGAGTGGAGATAAAATAACAAAGAAATCATCCACTGCAACTCAGGATAGCAGGTAAGCAGCAATGAACCACTTACATAGGAGGTAGGAACTAATGCTCAAGCTTGGAGTTGGGCATACAATATGATGACAGGTGTCATGATCTTCGACCTGGTTCATTCTTTAAAGCTTTTCACAAATAAAGAGTGCCTCCACAAAGGGTTTTATTACATGACACATTATATGGACTCAAAAGATTAAAGAGTACAATCTGTGTAAATTTATAATATTCATACACCAGGGTAATACAGAAGCAAGAACAGAGTCTCTAACTGGAACCAATCGGATCAAAGTTTGTGTACAACCCACTTTTGCATTAAAGTAGATTGGTAGATGGAGGAATCAAATCCACAAAGGTGGAGCTATTAGGTGCTGGAAATTTCAAAACTTACGGGAAAATTAAGATGATCTGATTTCAGATGAAACACTTCATTAGAATGCCATATATTGTATTGAGTATTCATAGAGACTTAGGCACACTACGAACAACACATCTTCAACTTTGGAAGAGCAAAAAGTCCAAAGGAGGGAAAAGCAATGAGTTAAAAACAAGGAAGTGAAGGAACATCAAGGGCAGGTTAGGAATTAAGGAAATGTAAAAGAAATTGACAATCCCATTTCAGTGGGACTACACAGAAAGCAGTGGTAATTGGTTCGCCACTAAGGAAAATAGTTATGATCATAATTTTTCATATAAATCCACATTAAGCGTTTAATTCACAGGTAAGCTGTAGCATGAAAAACTAAAATGAGAAAAAATATAAATAACATTCTTTATCAAGTTTAAGAGGAAACAAATTATCTGACATCAAGTAAGAAAATGACTTCATATAGCATGACAGCCAAATAGAACAAATTTCAGGGAAAAACAATCAAAAGTCTTTAAAAAATCTGCATACAATTTGCTACTACATGACAACCAAATAGAACAAATTTCAGGGGAAAACTGTGATATTATGATTGGTTTTTCACTGATGAATAATACTTCAGTTTTAAAACAATCAAACAGTCTTTACAAAAATCTGTATGCAATATGTTATACTACTTCATAGTTCATACTTAGCCATTTGCATGGTATTAGCCAAAAGAGATCTAGTAAAGTGTCAATCAAGATAAAGATTTGCATGTCACATACATACCCACTGACATACATTTAAACAAATACACACATGCATTATTATTGTGGATCAAATAAGAACAAGTCTTATCATGAGGACGTTTATTGCACTTTTTCGCATTGGCATAATATTTACCAAAATGCCACTGTCTTATTTTTTATATTGGCTTTATTTGATCAAAGTTAAAAAAGTGCAATACGCGTGCCCCATTGTGCATCACATGGGGTAAAAGTGACTGTTCTCACGTTCTCACGATAAGCCTTGTTCTCATTGGAACCGCACCCCATGTGTTATTCTCATTGATATTAACTATTAAGGAGGATCATAATGGGTCCACCACAATTATATTTTGTGCAATTCAGAGTCTGTAATCACGCTAAATAGTAGTGACATAAAAGAAAGATACTCCCTGTGTCCTTCAATAAACACCGAACTTGACCGATCACGCAGTTTTAAAAAATAGAGTTGTATGATTAAGATTTAATTGAAGATAGAGGAATAATATGAGCCACATAATACCTACCTTATATAGAAAGGAGAGATGAATTTGGGACGGACATTAAAAATATGTGTGAAGATTATAACTGCATGTGTAGACACAAAAGTTCTGAACTTATGCTAGGCTAGATATCTAGAGGACAATGGACATGCGGCACATGCCATAGGTATAAATTTAATATTTCAGCAAATTACTGCAAAAATGCTGCTCACCGCCTGTCTTATAGTTCGGGGAAATCCATCAAGAATGAAACCCGTTTCACCCTTGGATTCACCGGCCTCAAGTTGCTTTGACAGTAGATTTATTATGATCTCATCACAAATCAGTTTCCCTTGGTTTACAATCTCTGCCAACTGCAAATACAAATAACAAAATAGATTCGCTAAAAACATTCATCAAGTAAGATTATTATTCCAAACCCATCAGAACACTTCTATACATGCCGACTTCTAAAGAAACCAAAAGGTATTGCTAAAAGACCTAACCTCTCAAACTTAATGTAGAGCACTAGAGCCATATTAAGCCATCTAACATTGAAAAAATAAAAATACAAACTACTCCCTCGGTCCCACTAACAATGGTACAAGTGAAAGTGGCACGCATACCAATAAAAGTGGGTTTATGTGGTTGATATTGAATTGATAAAGTAAGAATGACTTAGAACCACACAAATTTCACTAAATTTGGAATGAGAAAATCTTAGTAGGACGGACCGAAAAGGAAAATTGGGACAATCTTAGCGGAACGGATGGAGTAATATTTATGATCTAAATGGCATAGATCCCCTAGCCCTAAATGGCATATTATGTTGCTAATATCAAATTAGCTATCAATCCGGATAAAATTGGAAAAGAATAAGAATTTTGAGATGTAAGATTGTTTTGCTCCAGAGAGTGATATTGTGGTCATATTAAGCTATCCCGGATCAAAAGGTTATAAAGTCACACACACACACACACACACACACACACACACATATATATATATATATATATATATATATAATTATGGGCTCCTTCGCATAAGGTATGGAACCCATGCCATTACTTTTAATTCTCTTAAGTATAGTACTATAGTAAGATTAATATCTTAAATCCTTATTACTCCCTCCATCCCTGAATAATCTTCCGAGTTTTCTTTTTTATCTGTCCCAAAATAATCTTCAATTTCCTTTCCCGGCAAATAATTTGTGGTTCAATGCATTTCTTACACATTCTTGCATAGTTTGCTCTCCTCAACGCAACTCTTCATCACACAATACCCAGTATCTTAATCTCAATGTCAAATGTACTTTGGAAGATAATTTAGGAACGGGGGGGTATATGACAATAGTAGAATTACTAATGTTCTATGAATTAAAGCATTGATCCTAAAAATAGGCAGCCCGATGCATATGGCATCCCCACAAGGTGAAGGTCCGGGAAAGGGTCCCACCACAAGGGTGTATAAGGAGCAAGCCTTCTCTTGTCATTTAGAGAAGAGACCACTCTCAAGACTTGAGCCCGTGACCTCTAGGTCACTCAACAACACCGTAACCGGTGCGCCAAGGATCCCTTCACTAGAGGAATGCCCAAGTTGCTTGCATAATTGTTCATGTGAGTAGGAGCGTAGCTAGGCAGCCTTACTAGGCTCGACCCGTTCCAAATTTGAAAATTGATTATATTGTGCGTATTAAACAAATTGTATACAAACTTATTAGAAAAAATTCTTTGTACGGACTCATCTAATTATTAAGTGGGATGTTTTTTTTAACTATACTACTCCGTATTAAGAAAAGGCTCAATTTGTATGTAAGCATTGGCTGCATTGCAAATAGCCAAATACTCCGTAGCAATCGTCACTTTCAACAAACTAAACTAGGTCAAATATGCATATACGTAGTATCATCTAAGATTAACACTACTTGAAAATTTTAAAAGTGAAAATGTATACTCCGTAACATGCAAAGCATACCGCAGGTTTACCTGGGCGGAGAGAGGACCACTGGTGGAGAGCTCATGACGGACGAGATCTCCGGTTGAGATATGAGGAACGCCGAGAAGATTCGAGAGGCGAGCGGCATAGGTGCCCTTGCCTACGCCGGGGCAGCCAAGAAACACCCACTGGACATTTCTGCCCTTGACTTGCTGCCCGGTCTGGACTGCCGCTGCAAGCTTCTTTTCTGCATCTAAAGAGGGCGTCGAACAAAATCCGCGCATCGAATTCCCGAACCGCCATCGGCATCTCGCAACTGATCTGCCCAAAATCGCCATGGATCAGTAAGAGTTTTCAGTAAAGAAATAGAACACGTAAACTTGTTCAAGCTTGGCAGGGAATTGAGCTGAAAGAAGGTTGCTTGAATGCTTGTGACGAAGCAGGGGAGACGGTGAGGGAATCGGGATGGTGAGATATTCTGCTGATCACATTTTTATGTAATGGTCATTGCTCATCAATACGCGTTCAGAACGATCACCACTTTCACCCGACGTACTCCCTGTTCGGGCTTAATTTTAGGGGTGGGATTTTGGAAACTGGACAGTTAAATGGGTTTGAACCGAACCGTTATAACCCGGTTCGGTTCGGTTCCTACATAACCCGATAGTATTAGTTGTTAACGGTTCGGTTCCTAGTTGTTGTTAACGGTTCGATTCTTGGTTCCTATAAAAAATATATGCACGGAACCGTTAAGGAATCGATATTAAAAATATAAAAATAAAATTAAAAATAATAGTATTAGTATTAGTAGTAATACTAATATAACAAAAATAAACACAATAACAACAATAATAATTAATAAATGATATTTAGCCAATAATTTTATGTATTGAATGAAAATTAAAATCTTCTTTTTATTCTATTAAGTGTTCACTTAAGTCCGAACTTTGATGTTTGGAGTGATTAGAACACTAAATAAATGTTTATGACTTATTTTGACTTTTTGACGTTTTCATGTGGTAGAAGCTAAACTATGTGTTAATTCTTACACGAAAAAAAATATTCTAGGAACCGATAAAAGCAAGAACCGAACCGTTTAGTATTGGTTCGGTTCCATATCGGTTCTTGATTTTTTATATACGAACCGAACCGATTTCATTTGTTAAAATTTAAATAACGGTTCCACTATTTTTGAGTAAGAACTGAACCGGTCTCAGGCCTACTTAATTTAAGAAGTAATTGTAGGACTAAAACTAAAACTAAACTTAATTCCAGACTTAAAGTTTTTAATTCCCCAAATAGGATTCTGTATTACCATTATGTTCTTCTATATAATAACATCAAAACCCTAATTCCAATCCCAATGTATCTCACGAACGTCAGTGGCTCTTTGATCTCCTACGCAACAAGCGTTGCTCATAGATCCCTGCGTAGCACTCCTACGCCGAGGCATGGAATTCGCCCCTCCGGCGATTATACACCTCTTTGGCATCATCGCCGCTTTCCTCTTCGTCGATTCCAGGTTTCTCCTACTCTTACTCCTACTCCTTCTTTCCTCTTTGTCTTCTTTATCTTCGTCTCCCCCTTCTTCTTTTGTTCTTCTTTTTCTCTAATCTTCATGGTTAATAACATGTTTCCTCTCACTAATTTTACTGTTTTTGTTGGGTGTGTTTCGGAAAAACGAAGAAGTATTAATTAAATAAAATTAATTAATAAATAAAATAGCTAAAAGAAAACAGAAATAAGATGAAGCGGATTTTAGCCAGAGCTCGTGCTACGTACGATGTCCTTAAAACGTATTCGTCGCCTCCCACGGTGCTAGGAGCGTTGCAACGACCGTTTCCCAGGATATGGTGGCTAACGAACGATCGTTTGAGCACACAAACGAAAGTCCCGACGAACTGAAACAATAGCAGAACACTAGGGAAATTTCGGAGTAGCTGGAAGTGTTTTTAGCTCAAGAAAACGTGGGGAATGTGTTGTGTGTTATGTCTTGTTGCAAACCACCTGCCAGCTATTTATAGGAGGATTTGTTGTGTGTTAGATGGGGTGTTAATGGACCTGAACGTTGGACATCAATGACCAGTCCATTGGGCATTGAATCGTCCATAAACTGTCCATTTAACTCAGCATTAAAAGAGAAGAACGTTGGGCATTTATTGCTGTAACGGACCAGAAGACCTTCTGGTGCGAACAGAATACCTCTACCAGAACACCTCGAGGTGTTCTGGTCTGAAGGCACCAGAAGACCCCAAGGCCTTCTGTCCGGAAGCCAGCAGAAGACCCCAAGGCCTTCTGTCCGGAAGGCAGCAGAAATCCTCAGGTCTTCTGATCCAACAGAGACCCTCTTAGGTTCTCTGGTCCAGAAGGCAACAGAAAGCGGAGCAGTTCTGGAAAAAATAAAACGTTACTGGAAGAACAAAAAATTAGACCGTATCTTTGAATGATAGGTATTTGGACGGCATTCGTGTCCGCAGGTCGCCCGCGCACACGAGTCACTGTTTTTCTTCTCCGTTTTGGGATTTGATCGGCACACCCCCCCCCCCCCCCCCCCCCTCCTGCGCGTAAGAGAGAGCCTTTACCTTTAGGAATCTTAACTCCTTAAAAGAGACTTCCCTTTATAAGGGGGTAAAAATCCCTTGATTTTTCCGGCGTGGGATAAAACACACTAGAAACCCTTCATTTCCCCAGTTTTTTCCATATCAACGAGTGAACTTCGAGAATCAATTCTTCATTTACCCGTTATCCGTTTTGAGTGTACCACATATCGAATTGTAGTCCTTAACAAGGACAATCCGAAATCACTTTGCCCCGACCCAAATCGGAAGTGGACCCCACTCAAATAATTGCCCCAAAATGACCATTTAATGCAATTTTTAACACATTTTTTCAACATTTTTTTGATAGAAAGATTTTTGTTTCATGAACATTTTTGGAGTTGAACATCGACTTTTCTGTTTTGTAGACATCGGCTTTAGGTTTCTGATTTCTGATGTCGTTAAATTTCCAATTTCGATAAAAATTCGTATTTTACAGATTTGGAATATCGGCTTTACATTTTTGCCAACTTTGTGGCAGTTCCATGTAGTACTCAATATTATATTATGGCAAAAAAACTTTTATTTTAAACTTTAATTTTTATTGCCAATCTTTTGACAAAATTGACCAATATATTATGGCAGATTTGGTGGTTGAGATTTCTAATTTCAATAAATTTCTAGTTTCATTAAAAACTCTGGTTTTTTCAGATTTAGGTGTTGAGATCATTTTTTGCCAAAATTTTGGCAGTTTCATGTAATACATTATTACAGAAAATTTGTATTTTGACATCGATTTAAAAGTATTGTCAACTATATGGCATATTTGCATATGATATTATGGCATAAAAATATTGTGTTCTTCAACGAACTGCCAAATATAATGATAGGAATTGTCGACATTGTGTTTATTTTTTTATAAAAGATGGCAGAACCGCAGAATTATGTTTTATATTGTCAACATATTGTTTTGCAGCATATTGGCATTTTCGCAACCGACGGTGATGGTGCCAGCAGTGGTGCCAAAAGTGACGGCGGCGCCGGCAGCGGAAGTGGCGGCGATGGCGTTGGAAGTGGAAGCGTCGGAAGTGGTTGCGGCATTTGGAGTATTGGAGGCGGTTGTGGAATCTAGGATTTTAGATAGCTTGTTTATTTTTTGATTTTTAATTGTAAATAAATTTAGAAATTCATTAAGGGTAATTTTGTAAAGTCAATACATTTTTAATTCTATGAAATATGGAAGTCCTATTTGTGCATTTCTTCAAAGTTTTAGTCCTATTTAAGTTGTAATTTTACGGGTGTAGACTGTGGAGCTTGGTACTTCCTTTTTCCATTCTTATATTTTGTTCTTATTCTTCCACTTACCTTGTGATATTACTTCTATTCTATTCCATAAATTATTTAAATTTGGAAAACAAAGCAAATGTTTCATCCTAAACACGGAGTATGATTGTCTTAATTTAATGATGTTGTTTGTCAGACTATTTATGGGGTTTTTCTTTCAATATTTCTAGCTTGTAGTTTAAAAAAGGTGATAATTTGTAGAATCCTCAAAGGAGTGGCCAAGTATTACGTATTATTATTGTTGTATTGATTTACTCAACATTTGTAGTTACTTGATCATTTACATATTTTACAAATTGGTAATGTGATAATTGTAATAAGTTTCCTTAAAGTAATTATGTACTACCTTCTCTTGTCCTAATGTTAATGGGAAGGAGGTAGTATCATTTAACGTAATATACATTTTCAAATTATCTCAAGTTACATTTCGTATAATGCGATTTACATGTTCCATTTGTCTCAAGTTAAATTTTGCATACACTCGATTTACATTTCGACTTATCTGGAATTACATTGTACATATAAGTGATTTACATTTCATATATTAAAGATGACAGTCACATGTTCTCTTTTGTTCATTAGCATCATCATCTCTTCCTCATTTATCCTCAGATTCATCAATACAGATTTTTTGTCTTACCATCTTCATCTAGTGGACTGGGACGGGTCGGCCCAGCACGGGACTCGGCCTGGTGCGGTACTGTGCAGGCCTGACCCGGCCCGCCGGAAAGTATCAAGACCGGGACTGGGGGCCCGAACCAGGGGTGAACTGGGCCGGGCTTCGGGCTTCAGAAATTGTGAAGCGGTCTGGGCCAACGGCTCTATTTAAAAAAATGGCTTTGCAGCCTCCTAAGCTCCTAGCCGTTGCCAAATGGCTCTATAGCCGTTGAGGGGGTCTGGGGGGTTGGGGGTGGGGTAAAAAAACTATAAATACTCCTATTTTCTAAACATTTTCCTACACCTATTCTCCTAATCTTCCTACTCTCTAATACTTTCTAATCATCTTTATCTTCATCTTCTCCAATTCTGTCTACACCTATTAATGTATATCATATCTATTTAAATTAGTTATACAATTATTATATCTACTTATATACTTATTATCTACTTATAAATACATATATTACATCTACTTATATTTATTATCTACTTAATATCTACTTATAATATACTTGTTATTTACTTATATTTACATATTACATCTAATTAATATATTAAGTATATATATTATAGTATTAAATATAAGTGTACGACTCATCTTATAGTAGTATACTTATATATCATATATACTATAAACATTATATTATATATTAGTTATACCATTTTTATATCTACTTATATACTTATTATCTACTTATAAATACATAATGTTGGGATATTGATCCGGAGGCCCAATACCCGGATCAAAAAGGCCCAAGATACCCGGCCCAAACAACGAGCCCATCACTCTATGATGAGTAGATCCAGTGAAGAATTCATGTCGAACGAGGTTCGGCCCAAGTAAGGGCCGGCCCAGAAAGAAGATGTACCGAACGGAGTTCGGACTATATATCATACTTGGGCCAATTTGACAGCGTCTTCAGCATGGTCCAACATCCCGTTCGAGCAACGGACAACCAGCAAGTGGCCAGGTGCAATTAATGCCAGATTGTGACATCATCAAGTGGAAACGTGGGTGACCAAGTCGGTGGAACAACA